TGAGCATTTGTTTGGAGCTCAGCACTGCTTGAAGCACTTTAACTCTGATTTTGAACAACCTTCTGCCTTCTAGATGTAATTGACAGTATTCACCTGTACTACAGAACTAAGATACAGAAATATTTGGTGACCTATCACATACAGTAAAAGAAATTATATCTCTGGCTAATAAATGATGCTTATTCAAAGAATTTAAAACTAAATGCAGCATTTTAAAAGACTTGTTTACTCATGTTAAATGTGCTAACATGTATATCCCTGCCTTTCTTACGTCTAAGAAAATGTATACCTTCCACAATATTGATTCATCCCCTAGAATAAATCCATCCATATTACTAAACTCCTATTTCACCACCATTAAAGTAGTATATAACCAAGCATTCTTACATCGCTATCTAGCTTTTCATCTGTGTTTATGAAAAATGATAACACTCCTTGAAGAAATGGCTTGACACTTCCTTGGATCCTACTAGTAACTGCCTTGCATACTGCAAATAGACAAAGTATTCTGTTGCTGGATACCACAAAAATGCTACTGGATCTCCAAGTTTTATGTTTTGAGTAGCTCTGACAATAATGCCAAACAGTATTTACTCAGTCCATCTATGTTTTCCAATTCAGTCTCTACGTAAAAATCAACAGTGAAGAACTAGAAAAGGCTAGTAGCTTTTTATCAGTATTTAGAAATTCACCCACACTAACACACCCAGAAGAAAAACCTTTGCATAAAAAGGTTCAATGCAGAATAATAATTTATAATGAGTCTTATTTTTAAGAATTCAAGGTCCATGGCCAAGAATTTTTTACTTTTATGTAATGCTTACAAAAAAATTGCTGTCGTAAACTGAAAGAAAATACCCAAGATCATTTTTGTGTTTAAGTTTATTTACACTAGAAAATAACAATTATAGGGGCTGGAAAGATGACTCAGAGGTTAAGAGCACTGCCTGCTCTTCCAAAGGTCCCGAGTTCAATTCCCAGCAACCACATGGTGGCTCACAACCACCTGTAATGGGGTCTGGTGCCCTCTTCTGGCCTGCAGGCATACACACAGACAGAATATTGTATACATAATAAACAAACAAACAAACAAATAAATAAATATTTAAAAAAAAGAAAGAAAATAACAATTATAAATGCCCAAATCTCTCCACTTTCAGAATTAAGGATAATTTAAGTTGCTTTAAGCTAAACTTTTCTAAATTTTTACATATCTTTTCAACTTATTAAAAACCTTTAAGCCAGGTGGTGGTGCAGGCCTTTAATTGCAGCACTCAGGAGACAGAGGCAGGTGGATCTCTGTGAAGTCAAGGCCAGCCTGGTCTACAGAGCAAGTTCCATGACAGGCTCCAAAGCTAAACAGAGAAACCCTTCTCAAAAAAAAAAAAAAAAAAAAAAAAAAGCATAGCTCAACATTTGAGTTTATACAGAAATATTACAGAGACAGCACTTGCTAAGAGACCATCTGGTGTGTCAGAAAACATTTACATTATAGAAGATTCACAGTCTATAAGAGAGCCACTTTTATTGCTTTTATTAAAAAATTTTTTAATTTTATATGTACAGGTGTTTGGCCTGCATGAATGTCTGTGCATTAGATGTGTTTCCGAGGTATTTTCAGAGGCCAGAAAAAGGTACTGGATCCCCAAGAACTAGAATTATGGATCGTTGTAAGCTGTGGGCACTGGGAATCAAACCTGTGACCTCTGGAAGCGCAGCCAGTAAATGCTCTTAACTACTGAGCCATCTCTCTAGCCCTGTGAGTCATCTCTTAAATTATATGACCTGGAAGCCCATATACTTTCAGTAGCATGCTACCTTTAGTTCTAATTTTAAAAAATATTCAAGTATAATTAAGGATGGAACCATTTGTGGTATACTTTATAATTTTCCTTTTATTTTTAGTTTTGTTTTTCACTTTTTTATTCTTTGTCAATTTCATATGTACACAGAATATCTTGATCCTATCCACCCCCAACTGCCCTTCTCACATAACCTGCCTTCCTTTCTAAGACCTACTAGTCAATTTCCAAGGTCTATTCTAAAGATCACCTCTGCAAATAATCCTACTAATGAGCTAGTCACTCCTGTCTATGAACCAGCTCCATCCATACTCTAGCCTTAATTGTACTGTTGGACCTATCACCTTATACTATAATTTCAATCTATCCCCCCCCCCCGCACTCAGTAATTTGCTTGGGACATCCTGGACCCATGTCTGATTTAACTTTAATCCCCAGAATATCCGGTATTATGCCTGCTTGGCACAAAATATATGATAACCCATGTAACATGCATTATCTTATGTATGACTGGTAATTAGAGATGTGTCAATACATTATGCCATGAGGTACTTTCAAACAAGTTAACATTTCATTTGTAGTAGCAAAATATACAAAACATATCCATTCCCCAACAACACACCAAGTTGTGATCCTCTTTCTCTTTGCTCACCTGGCCACTACCACATCTGACATGGATGTCTTTCAGCTCTCATCTTTGTGATTTGCCTTTCTCTTTCATTTTAGGCAACCTCAACCCAACTTAACAAGGTAGTCCCTTTCACCAAGTTGTATTCACTTATTATTTCTAATGTACAACGCCCGGCTCTACCTGACTCTTTGATAACTGTGAGTAGAGAGACTCAACCCTACCTCTGTAAACTTTTTAGTGAGGTCATATTGCCTGCATCCTCCACATACCATTTCCTTTCTCCTTCCTTCTGGGCATGTGTGCTAGCAGGAACTTGACAAGCACTCTTAGGCCTTTACCCCTAAGCAAATGAGGTGAGAGGTCAGGAAAGCAATTTGGACTTAACAGTAAACCATCCTTCTATCACATATAAAATAAGGAGATAAGGGCAGAAGTGAAAGCATAAGAGAAAAAGAAGATTAATGGCCTATTAACCTTGGAAAAGTCTTAAACTACAAGAAAACAAACCAGAAACATTCTCACAGATCATAAAAGATCTACTCAAAACAAAGTCACTAGATGAGCAGCAAGAAGACTTTTGAGGACAGAGTCTCCCTCATGGAGAGATTTATTAATAAACACAACAGACTCTTCTCTCTAAGCCTTATCTTGTGGGTAAGGAACAGGTGTCATGAATAAGTAATTCTGAAATACTTGAGAACATAGTAAGTGACGGGAAAAACACGATATGAAGGATCATGTGTATCAGGAAACCAAAAAGGAAAAACTAGCCCTTAATAAGGACTTTAAGGAAGGAGATACTGGAGCTAGGTATCTGCACACTGAGAAGGGAAATGGCCAATCTCGTGAGGATGGAGTGGGAAATGAAGGAGACAGACAACAGAAAAGCACAAAGAGGGACCGTGACTGGAGCTTGGGTTGAGTGCAGACCATGGCTTACAGTACTTTGTGAAGATTCTTGTTGCTTTTTTTCTCTGAGTCACTTAATGGTGTTGATTTATATTTTAAGTAAGTTACTCTGCTAGGTGAACAGTTGGCAAAGGACACAGCTATAATGAAATTCCCACCACAAAATCTTTCCTTTGGCCTATTTTGTATTGTAGACCTCTAATAGGAAGGCTTTCAAGGCTGTCTGTTTGTAAAAACCAAGGCTACAAGCCTACAACAATCTGCATAAGTAAAATAAGTAAGAAATACAGACAAAGGCGTTTTTGACATCTCCTTTATGCCTTGAAAATATTTTCCCCCAAGAAAAAAGGTTCCCTATGTGATGACTGGCCATGGAGAGTGTGTGACCTGGCAGACTCCATCTGAGTGAGATAGCCCTTCCTCCAGAGAGTCCCTAGCCGGTTCTCCAGTTACACGCCCTCTTTTGTATTTTGCCTTTTCTAGATGTTATAACTGACAATCAACTACTAATTTATTTATTTATGTTTTTATAAAAGTCTGTTCAGCTTCTTAGTTTCAATATTCAAACTTTTAGAGAAAAATATGTGCCATACACAACTGTTTAGCATTTGTAAAATAGGAATACTAGAAAAGGAATAGTTTGGTTAACTGACACTGAAAAACAAAATAAACTGAATGAATTGAAATTGCTTAAATTTTAGCACCTTCCTAGCATAGTGTCTCAGTCGAGGAACTTTAGCTTTCTGTGCTATTCAAAATTATTGTCCACAAAGTAGCTAGACAACTTAGAAACAGAAAAGGAACAAAATTCAAATTACTCAATTTTATCCTGCAACTTTAGGAATCTTTCATCTATAGTTTCACTTCTTTGTAGCTTCAGTTACCAACATTTCATTTCAGTGAGAAAAATACTGATGGAAAAGTCCAGAAACCAACAACCCATTAAGTGTTAAATTAGTGTTCTAAGTAGTATAAAAAATATTGAACTTTTCTGTCAGGAACATTAATTATTCCTTTGTCTAGAGTATCCGCACAGTATATGTTACCTGCTCTGCGACAGCTAAAAAGGGCCACATCAAGAACTTTTATTTATAATACATTGTTATTTATTACAATACATTGTTCTACTGTGTTGCTTATTGTTGCTGTTAATCTCTTACTGTGCCTAACTTATGAATTATACTTCACTGAAGAAGTGTTTCTTCACTGAAGAAACAGCATGCATAGGATGTTTCCTCTGGAGGTATGGGAGCACAGCCTTAATGTACAAGGTAAACTACAGCATTAGCAGGGTTCACAGAGGACTTCAGGAAAAGCTTAAAATTCCTGGGCTCCTGAAAAATTAAGGCATTATTCACAACTAAAAAGAAAACTTTAGTATCCTTTTTTCTTTCATTTGATAAAACATTTATAATACCATTTAAGACCTCACACAATGAGCTCAAACAGACATTATCTTGCTCAATCCAGGGTAGGATATCAAATTATCTAAAAATAGCCTGTAACCTAATAGATCTAAGAAAAGTTTTAATGTAAATATTCTCATAGAAATATGATCTTATGGTATTTTATTAAAATATATGCAATTAGTAGGGCTACCAGTGCCAAGTAGGGCAGAAACAGACAAGCTAAGACTTCAGACCACTGCACAGTCTTACCTTCTGAAGTTTTCCACTGTTTCCACAAATCCTCAACAGTTATGTGCTTATCTTCTCTGTGAAGATGACTATGTTTATTTGTAGCATCTTTATATTTCATATCTTCTCTGATAAACTATAAAAGAGAAAACAGTTAAGTTAAACATATATAAAAGCCTTTACTCCTGAGAAACTAGAAACAAAACAACAAAAATAAGTGTGATTTTTTCAGATACCAACCATGACACTGTTGATATTTTATTTTTTAAGATTTATTTATCAATTCTGTATACAGTGTTCTGCCAGCATGTATGCCTGCAGGCCAGAAGAGAGCACCAGATCTCATTATGGATGGTTATGAGCCACCATGTGGTTGCTGGGAATTGAACTCAGGACCTCTCAAAGAGCAACCGGTGATCTTAACCTCTGAGTCATCTCTCCAGCCCCTGTTGGTATTTTAAAGCCATTTTCTCATTGTTGTTAAACACATTTTATAAAATGTCTTCTAATCATGAGAACAGAGGCAACATATGTCTTTATTTAAAGCTCATTACTCAGTAGATATTAGTCCACATTTCTACTGAGAAGGATTATATATGCACACACAGAGACACAGAAAGCTATATAGATAACTGTTTCTAAACTTCATGATGGTCTTGGAAGGAAAGCACTGTTTTAATTCTATTTTATTAATGGGAAGTCAATGCCGACGGAGGTTAAGTAACATGCCCAAGGTTAAAACATGAACAAGTATTGAGAGTCCAACCAGAGCCATGGCTACAGTCAAACACACAGTTTAGTTACCATCTCAGAATTACATTCTGACACATAAACAGTGACGAGGTATTTCCAACCACAACTAACACTAATCTCAGTCACTTTATCATAGTCCTGTGTTTTTCTACCATCTAAGTCATCACTGAAAGGAAAGCTGGCTACGATGTCACAACTAGCATATTTTATAAACCCATGTATATAGCCTTATAAATTATACCTTAAAATATTTTAAAACCATCAAAATTAATCTCTGCTAAAAATTAGCCAGCTCTGTAATATTTCTTTCCTACTGTCCAAAAAACAGAAAGCAGGGACTATTACACCTATAAACCATTCATCAACGCTCTGACCATTTTTCAGGTTTTAGCTCCCCAAGCTTCCTCCAAATTACCCATTTCTAATTATATAAAAAAAATTAACTACTTTAAAATTTTATCATTTTTCACTGTTGTACATTTCTTTTTTCCTTGTTTTGATATCTTACTTTTATATGTATTGATTTTTTTCTTGATTCTAAAGGTAGATCATAGCTGTTTCAGAAATCCAAAATATAGAAAATCTAAGTCCCCAGGGACTTCAACCCCAAAAGTAAAGTTCTTATTTTTATACATTATTAGTAATATTCTTCTCAGACATGACAAAATTTTGGTTTGAATAGAATAAGCCTATACTAAACTACTTAAGTTATTAATATTAAGCAAATCATGTACTTTTCCAAGCTTCAATGCTCAGCTTTTAGGATCAACACCATTATTCAAAGTGACCTCAACAGACTAGTTAGAGACATTTTACTCATGCTGCTCTACTATAGGTACAGGGACTGGGAGTGGCTACTTAGCAGCCTTTGTAGAAGTAATCAGATAATGCTTTCAAAGCATCTGAGCAAAACATGTGACAAATGTGTTAGCTGTATAAACTGTTATTAAGAGACTGGAAATTAAAAATCGGGTGCTACATCAATTGCTTGAAAAGCACTGATTTAAAAGATTCACCTTAGATTATTTTTATTCTGTTGTTACAACTAGTGTCTTATTTTACAAATTTCTTTTTGTAAAGTACAGTATAGTTAAAGTAGCTTTTCTAGCTATCCTCATGTCACCCTTACTGATATCTTTAGAATCTAGTAAAATCCTTGGGGGAAGTGGGATCACTACACCTAAGATGCTTAGAAACTGCTCATCTTGGAAGAGGTCCAAGAGCTAAAGAGAAAATTGAGGCTGAAAACTATGATGATACACTGAGCAGAGGAAGTCAGTCTTGGAAACAGTCCAGTCAGCTGGAACAAAGAGCAACTGTTCCATTTATGGGATAACATCAAAAAGAATGTCCCAGGAAATTCTCTTCACTGTGTGAGTGCTAATAACTGAAAAGGAAAGTTCTATGGCTTCAGAAATAAACTAATTTCCATATAGATGAGATGTGATAGTTAATATTGAGAAAATGTAGATGAATTTAGGGATATATATTAAACATGTGCTTAATAAACCAAAGGGAGATGGGGTGATAGAACACTGATGATATAGAGGGAAAGGGGCAAACAATGGATAGGAAGGTTTAATGGCAAAGTGGGACAAAGGGTAAGACATGGAGGAGGCAGGGAGAATGATGACAACACTGAGAAAGTTTGAAGTCATATGGAAACCTACTATTTTATAAACTTCATATGTATTTTTTCACATAGAGAGTTCAACTGGAGTTCCCCTAAATAAGATAAAAATATTCTTCCAAAAAGCCATAGGTTGCCAAAAAAATCTTAGTTCCAAGTGTAAAATACCTCTCCTAGAGTTGTTTGTGGTGTGCCAGAAACTCCCAAAACAATAAAATAAACATTTTTAAGAAAGCTAAGCAAGGCTGGGTGGTGGTGGCTCACACCTTTAATTTCAGTACTCCAGAGGCACAGGCAAGCAGACTTCTGAGTTGGAGGCCAGCCTGGTCTACAGAGATAATTCCAGGACAGCCAGGGCTACACAGAGAAACCCTGTCTCAAAACAAACAAACAAACAAACAAACAGCCAAGTAAAACCTAAATACATAAAAATGGACTTTTCCTAGAATTATCTAAAAATAGTGTTCATTAAAAAAACAATAATCCACCCTGCAGCAGGGGCAATGCCTAGGTGCCCTGTGCTGCCACTGGGGCCACGGTGTCAGCTGGGCCTGAGATGTGGCCATGGATCACGTCTGGGGTTGAGGTCCATGGCTCACGTTGCCAGCAAAGGCCACAAGAATCTCGGGGTTCCGGAATGCCACCTGTGACCATGTTGGGGCCTGAGGGATAAGCTGCTGCTAGAGTTATGCAAATCTGAGTGGTCTGCACTATAACCTGGGGCTATGGTGACTTCCCTGCCAAGTTGCTGCTGAGGATCATGTCTGGGTCCGTGGTCCTACCAAAGCCAACATCTGCATCAATGCCTATGACTTCCCACTGAAGCCTGGGCATATACCCAGGGTCTGGGCCACCACATGAGACCAGGATGGTGTCCAAGGGTCATGCTGCTGCCAGAGCCATACAGATTGGGGTGGCCTGCACTACCACCTGGAGGTCATGGTGATGTACAGGTTGTGACCAGGGGCCATGTCTGGGTCCGTGGTTCTAATGCAGCCAGAATCAGTGTTGATATTCATGGTTCCTGCTACCATCAGGGGTCATGCAACCTGCATCCCCCACTCCCGAGTCTGGGCTACCACCTGGGCCTACACTGGAGCCCAGAGATCACACTGCTGTTGGGCCCATGTCAATCTGAGAGGCCTATGCTTCTACCCAGGGCAATGGTGCCATCTTCGCCAAAGCTGCTGCTGCTGGTAACATCTAGGTCCATGGTCCTGCTGCAGCTTGGGTCCGTGTTGATGTCTGTTGCCCATGTTACCACAGGGACCTATAAACCATGAATTGAACCATGGGTGGAAGTACTAGGGCCTGGCTGAGCTGGTCCTACGTCTCACTGGCCTGAGAAGAGACACCCCCATCTCAAAGAACAGCTGACCCACCCCTTGCCCTGGAATAAACAGCCTGGCACTAGAGAGCTCCCCCTCCATCTGGAAAAGCTGGCCCCACCTCTTCATCTGAGGGCGGTGGTCCAGTGGCTCTGACTGACCAACTCAGCTACAACCCAGGCACGCATTCAGGGCTCTGAGTTGGCATCTCCACAACATCTACTCCATCTATAACCTGCTGGAGCTTGTGAAGGGAAAGGTCCTGTGAAACATAGCTGCAGGATCTCCATGACTCAGAGCGAAAACAGAATATTCAAGAGGAGTTTTGGTGAGGGTTTAGTACTGATGGTGTACCAGAAGTCAGAGGTCTTGAACCTGACCAATAACATATTACACAATGAGCATTTGGAAGTAAAGCTGTGTGGACAAAAGGGTATATTGTGTGATACACCAAAGCTCCCAGTGCCACTAAGACCAATAGAGGCGATATAGAGGCAGGAAAGATGGAGGAGTGACCTGGTTTTGTTTCTTTAATTAAAAGTCTTATTTATTTTTATTATTTCTTTTTAAGTATTCCTTTGGGAGGGAGACACTACAAGGGTGAAGGGCAGATAAGGAAGGACTGGGAAATGAGTGGGATGGGGTGTATAGTGTGAAATTGTCAAAAAAGTCAATTAAAAAAGTGAGAAAAATGACCACAGGATAATAAAACTTGTAACAAATAACTCAAAAGCACCCTACACCTTACAGATGTTTGTCACTCTTACCAGAACATGAGTAGAAAACTTTCAGAACCAAAAAGAGGACATGACTAAAGTACATGAAGCTCACAGAACACCCAATAGACATGACCAAAAAAAGTCCCATTGCCACTAAAGGTACTGAATAAAGAAAGAATATTAAGAGCTGCAAAAGATATAAAGATATAAAGGCAAACCTATCAGAATTACACCAGAGTTCTCAACGGAAACTCTGAAACGCAGAAGGTACTAGGTAGACATTCTGCAGACACTAAGAGAACACAGATGTGAGCACAATCAAAGAGAAAACAAGATACTTCGTGGCAAAAGAAAATTTAATCAATACTTATCCACAAATCCAGTCCTACAAAAAGTACTAGAAGAAAAACTCCAACCCAAGAAGTTAGCTACACCCATAAAAACACAGACAATAGACAATCCCACACCAGGAAAACCCAAAGAAGGGAAATACACACACAATACCAACAACAACAACAACAAAACCAAAAATAACAAGAACTAATAATCACTAGTCATTAATATCTCTTACTATCAATGGTCTCAATTCACCTATAAAAAAACACAGGCTAAAAGAATGGATATGAAAACAGGATCCATCCTTCTGCTGCATACAAGAAACACACCTCAACTCCAAAGACAGACATTACCTCAGAGTAAGGGGCTG